TTCCTCTTCAGCTTCGTCTTTCTCTACTTCAAGGAGGGCAAGGAGGGAGTGGCTGGCAAGGCCAAGGCCGAGTAGTTACTACGAGGGAGTTCATATGCTTTTGCCTTGTTTCTTTTTCACTCTGTATACCACTTCATGAACTAGCTGTTCGCATTATCAATAAAGCTCAGTACTCTTGATCTTCTTGGTGTTTGGTTAAGGGGTTTCTATGAGAAATGAATATCTAGATCTTCTTTGCTTGAAGATTCTAAAGGTTCTGGCTGGCTGCGGTTTGGCAGAGGCAGTTTGTGCCGAGTCAGAAAAAGGCGGTGACAAAAGCTGCTCACTCGGCTGTGCATCAATGTAAACATACCTTTGAAAAAGCAAATTCTTGTCTGATTCTGTTCAGACAAGTTTGCTGATAATTTCAAATGAAAGATAAAAGCATAATCTAACTATTACAAAGAAAAATCAATTCAAATCGGTGCTATTTAAAAGTTAAACTTGGATTCAAAGTAGGCATCCCAGACACAGGGAGAGGCAGCAAGCTCCGCCCAGAAAAGCAATTCCGCACTGGACAAGTTTCCGAAATGGGACAAGTAGCCAAAATGTCGTTAACCACGCCCTTAAATTCTAAAACTCGATTCTCTTAGTGAATGGTTCATTTTAAAGCGTTGAAATTTGGTATGATTAAAGAAAATTACCTGGCGCACATTTCTAGCTAGGTTTCAGTTTGACCAAAGCTACCCTTCACTGCTTAAAAACGCTTTGAAATTTTCAAATTATTTTTTCAATAAGAAAATTGTATCAACTGCAACCAACTGTTAATGTCAATTAATTAACCAGTCTTTGTAAGCAGTTTGCAAAAATAATTACAAAAATCAGTCAAGTGGTTTTTCAGTTATAAAATTTTAAAGTTAAAAAACAGTTTTTTGCGATTTTCTCAAGCACGGAACATGCTAGGCCTTCGATTTTAGTCTTGAAAAATTTCAATTGTCAGTCTACACAAACGCTCGGACGCTTTTGGCCTTATCTCAAACCGTTCACGAGATATGACGAAAACAAAATTCCCAGGAGAAAACTTGAAAAAGCCCACTAACTTTTCTTCCCGGAAACACTTCCCGTGCTGGCAATAAAAGCTGCCGGGAACATTTCCAATGAACTAGCTCCCCCCACTTTCCCACACACACACACACACACACACACACATGTGTTTTCATTCACTCGTCTGCTGCGTCTGCTGGTCTTCAGTGTTCAGTTTTACTTCGCACTTCAACGAAGACTGGTCGTCTCCTCTTTTTCCCCTTCTCTTTCTGGCTATGAGTTGCAGGCGTGTCAGCAACCCACTAAACACTACTTTGATATGTGATCACACGAGAGGACAGACTCCCCAGCACTACCCCAGCACTACCCTTAGCAGTACCCATGTCGGACATCAACAGTGAAACGACGACGACGCCGAAGAGTAAGTGTATCTCCTGTCAGCTTTATTCACCCTTTCTCAATGCTTTTTTCCTCCTCCACCCTGCAGATGCCGATACAGCAGCGAGCAACTCGTCGAATGCTCAGCCGGAAACTGCCACCACCGTCCACCGATCTCCGCAGAAGAGTCGGCAGAACCACAATCACAATCATAATCACAACACTAACCACCACGGCAATCACAACAGCAAGAATGTGAACAACAACATCGGTGGTGGTGGTGGTGGTGGAGGTGGTGGTCGAAAGAGGCGGTACACGGTGGGCGTAGCTGAATTGCACGGTAGGCCAGGCTACCCGAAGCGCACCCGTCGGAAGGACGACGACGATCCATTCGAGCCGCCGACGGTGTTCAAACTGGGCGGCAACATCCACGACCCGCTCAACCTGAACGGCATCGGCGCGAATCCGGGCCAGACGACGCCCATCTCATCGCCCTTTCCCTCGCCCTTTCCCCTGCCGGCGGACAAGAGCAGCAGCAGGGAGAATGCCAGTAAGGAGAAGGTCGAGGTGCTCATTCCGCCGAACATCTGCGACCCGCTCAATCTCTCCTGTCCGAATGCGCTGAACGAGTCGGACCTCATTTCGCCGACCAACTTCAAGAGCGGCAACAACAGCAGCTACGGCAGACAGCGCAACAACAGCAACAGCAACAGCAACAAACGTCGTCGCACCTCTTCGGAGACGGAGGTAATCAACGAGGGCGCCGGCAAGCAGCAGCGGTCGGGCAGCTTTCACGACAGCAAGCTGCTCTTCAGCCGAGATGACTCTTTTCTGGGGCGTCGAAACACGACGGGGGCGGCGGCGGCAGCGGCGATGAATCGAGCCAATCGAGAGAAGCTCAACGCAGAGCGGAAGATCTCTCCGGTTGCTGCCACCACGGCGGCTGCTGCTGCTGCCTCAGCTGCTTCAGCTTCAAGTTCGGGTGGACAGGCTGGCAAGTCCTCGAACCACAGCAAGTCCTTTTCACGCAGCAACAGCAGCAGCCAAGGCGGCAGCACCAATGCTGCCAATCGAAATCAAAATCGAAATCGGCAACAAGGCCCATCGTCCACTGCGACCACTGATCATCAGTCTTCCACAAACACCCACACCTCCTCCTCCAGTGAAAAACCCTTACCGAAGAACAACAAGGAGCGCTTTCGCTTCGGCAACTACAACCGCTACTACGGCTACCGCAACAGCCAGCACTGTGATAGGCGGCTGGAGCTGCTGCCACGGGATCTCATCCAGGGCAAGGACGTCCTCGACGTCGGCTGCAACATTGGCCACGTGACGCTCACCCTGGCAAGGGACTACGGCCCTCGCCGAATCGTCGGCGTCGACATTGACCCGGGGCTGATTGAGGTGGCGAAGAAGAACGTCCGCCACTACATCACCGAGGCGGTGGTCCAGCGGGAGGGCATGCCGCTTAGCATGCCGCTGCTCTACGGCCCACTGGCCAACATGCCCAAACAGGTGCAAGGAGAGGAAAAGGAAGAAAGTGGTGGCTTTCCGAACAACGTCTTCTTCTTTGCGCTGAACTACGTCCCGGAGAGTGACGCCCTGCTGGAGGTGCAGGAGGAGGAGTACGACGCCATCATCTGCCTCAGCCTCACCAAGTGGATTCACCTCAACTGGGGCGACGCCGGCATTCGCCGCCTCTTCCTGCGAGCCTTCCGCGCCCTCCGCCCGGGCGGCTGTCTCATTCTCGAGCCGCAGCCGTGGTCGTCGTATCAGAAGAAGGCCAAGCTGACGGTGAGTCCTTTTGTCTTGAAGTGTTTAACTTGAATTCTAAACCCTTCTTCTCCCTTTTCAGCCCCAGATACAGAGCACCTACCGCTCGATTCGCTTCCGCCCGGAGCAGTTCAATGAGTACCTCCTGAAGGACGTTGGCTTCAAGAGCTGTGAGCTGCTCGGCACGCCCCAGAACACCTCCAAAGGTAAGCAACTGAAGGTAGAGAGCTCTTTATTGTTGTCTAATGTTTACATCTCTTTCTTTAGGATTCCAACGGCCAATATACCTGTACAAAAAGCCTGCTGCACCCTTGAAGAGCGCTACCGCCGCCGTTTCAGCATCAGCATCTGCAACTGATTTCCCCGCCCCCTCTTCCTCATCATCATAAGAAATGTAAATATATTCTCCGTTTTGTGCATATTATACACACATGATACAAAGTATATCTTTTGAATAAAACCACTACCACACTTCTCTGGTAAGACCGGAACAAGACAAAGCACTTTGAGTGATGTTTACCACCAGCAGCAGTTTTCAATGGCAGGCCTGCCAGTCTAGCTAAAACACCAGGACCGCTCGCAGAGTACGATACGCGGATTTAGCGCCACCAGTTGCACTTGGCGACTTTGTGAACTACAGCTTCGCCGCTAGGGTCAATAGATGGCGCCGTCTCCGCTGCAACTTTTTATTTTGAAAAAGATAGAACTTTGAAAATCCCTAGATCAACAATGTTGTTGTTATCGGCAAGAATGCTGGCCTCTCACTACCAAAATAATGGCCGATTGTTTGCTTCCCAAGAAGAAGAAGTTGGAATAAGAAGAGAAGATTTACCGCTATAAGATTGTCCTCCTCCGGCTACTTCTTGAGGAGAGGATAAATGTTGCCGCAACAACAACTGCCAAGGAATGGTTTTTGTTTACAGTTGACAGAACAGAAGAGCAACCAAAGCACCAGGATTTATCGCCTTGATTCCCCAAGAATCGAGCAACTCTTTGAGCAGTGGAAGCAGCAAAGAAGAAGAAGTAATCAGCAGCAGCAGCAGTTGATCATGGATCCGCAGAAAAAGGTGGTGACCAAAAAGATTGAAGGTGAAGATCAAGCAGCCCTGGCCTGGCTGAAGCGCTGCCTCGACGTGGACCGCCTCAGCGAGTACATCGACCGGAACATTCTCGCCTTCAGGGTAACTGCAGAACTGATCTATCAACTGTAAACTAGCATTAACTTCCTTCTTTCACACACAGTATCTGCCCTACGCCGTGGCCATCGCCGGTGTCGCCGTGCTGCTTCGAAGTATTCGCCTGGTAACACCAATGTCGTTCTTCCTTGCTCTTTGCTTTTCAATGGAAACAACCGATGACCAACATCCTCTCTCTCTCTCTCTACTTTGCTTTGCAGGCCACCAAGTTCCGCGATTGCAGCCAGATTCCCCGCTCCTTTGTACGGCAGAACGTGCAACTTCGCGGCCGTCTGGTGGACGTCNGGGCACCCTCTCGGTGGAGCACCAGCCCATCCTCTCGCTGCCCGCGCCATTTTGGAGCCGTTTTCTAAAGAACAACAACAACAGCTCACAATATCTTCAACTTCGCCTCGCCTTCACCTCGCCCACCATTGCCGGCATCTACTGGATGCGACTTAATGTGAACGGAGCGCCGATCAAGTTTCGCCTGATTGACCACCACTGTGGTACTTCGCTTGAAGAGGACAACAAGAAGAGGATCACTCTCTGGGCGGCAGTCAAGGTCGTCCAGCAGCAGAAGCAGCAGAAAAAGCAGCACCAGCACTCGCCCACTCTCAACGAGACGCTAATTCGAAATGGCCTCGCCGAGGTAGGCGGTCCCTTTCCTCGCCCAAATCGAACTCTGCTCAGCAAGCGAGAGGCGAAGCTGCTGCACCGGCTGGAGCTGGCCGAGGCCAAGGCGGTCCAGGAGGGCCTCGGTCTGTGGAATGATAATGCCACTACTACTGCTGCCTCAACCGGCACCGCACTGATCACCGTCGGCCAGCAGGTGATCCGGTCCTGGTGGACGGCAATCATCAACACACTGAGGTGGGCACTGGGCTGGCTGGGAAGAACAACAACCAAAACAAAGGAACAGTAAACACATCATCATCATCTTTATTATGGTTGTTGGATTGGGACCTTGATTGAACATCTGATCATCTCATCTCATCTCATCTCATCATCTGATCACCTCTCCTCAAGCATTGTAGCTGGAGGAGGAGACATTGCCTCCTCGGCCGGTCCAGTTGGTGTGGACAAAGGTGCCCGGCTTCTCCAGGAGCTCGTAGGTGTGGGCGCCAAAGTAGTCTCGCTGCGCCTGGATCAGATTGGCCGGCAGCACCGCCGAGCGGTAGCCGTCGAAGAAGGCGAGGGCGGTGCTGAAGCAGGGCGTGGGAATGCCCAGGAGGACGGCATTGGCGACCACCTTGCGCCAGCTGCCCTGGCACTTGCCGATCTCCGCGCGGAAGAAGTCGTCGAGGAGGAGGTTGTTCAGCGAGGCGTTCTTCTCAAAGGCCGCCTTGATGTTCCCCAGGAAGACGGAGCGGATGATGCAGCCGCCGCGCCACATCAGCGCAATGCCGCCGTAGTTCAGCTTCCAGTTGAACTTGCTCGCCGCCTCGCGCAGCAGCATGAAGCCCTGCGCGTAGGAGATGATCTTCGAGGCGTAGAGGGCCTGAAAATAAAGAGATTTAGAACCGGTGAAAAATAAACCACAATAAATTCACTTACCATGCGAATGTCCTCAATGAAGGCCTTCTTGTCGCCCTCGTACTTGCTGGTGGGCGGACCTGAGAGGAGTTTACTCGCCTGAACGCGCTCATCCTTCAGCGAGGAGAGGCAGCGGGCAAAGACCGACTCGCCGATTAGGGTCACAGGGACGCCGTAATCGAGGGCGGAGATGGCCGTCCACTTGCCGGTTCCTTTCTGTTTTCATTGTGGGAAGGGAATTGAGATTAAAAGAAGGTCTTTGTATATTGGTCACTCCTAACACTTACCTGCCCGGCCGAGTCGAGAATCTTCTCCACCAGCGCCTTTCCATCGCTGTCCTTGAACTGGAGAATGTCCTTGGTGATCTCAATGAGAAAGGAGTCCAGCTCGCTCTTGTTCCACTGCTCAAAGATGTCGCCCATCTCCTGGGGGCTCAGGCCCAGGGCCTCCTTCATCACGTGGTACGCCTCGCAGATCAGCTGCATGTCCCCATATTCGATGCCATTGTGGACCATCTTCACGAAGTGGCCGGCGCCGTCGTCGCCCACCCAGTCGCAGCAGGGCTCGCCCTCCGCCTTTGCCGCAATGTTCTGGAAGATGTCCTTGATGTGCAGCCTAGGGTGGGGGTGGGGGGGAGTCGAAATAGAAATCGAAATCAGCTGATTAGCAATCAAAACAACAAACAGCCAAATTCTTACCAGGCCTCAGCATGTCCTCCGGGCATCAGCGAGGGCCCATAACGGGCGCCCTCCTCGCCGCCACTAACTCCCGAGCCCACGAAAAGCAGCCCCTTCTCCCGCATCTCCTTACAGCGGCGCTGCGTGTCGGTGTACTCAGAGTTGCCCCCATCGATGATAATGTCGCCCTTCTCCAGCAGCGGCACCAGCTGCTCGATGAAGCCGTCCACCGCCGAGCCCGCCTTCACCAGCAGAATAATGCGGCGGGGCTTCTTCAGCTTCGCGACCATCTCCGCGAGGCTGTGCGCCCCGACGACGCTCTTCCCTTTGGCCTCGTTTCCGAGAAAGTCGTCCACCTTGGAGGTGGTGCGGTTGTAGGCGCACACGGTGTAGCCGTGGTCGGCCATGTTCAGAATCAGGTTCTGGCCCATGACGGCGAGGCCGATCAGGGCGATGTCGGCTCTGTAAAGGAAAGGAAGAAGGTAATTAGAATTATGTGGTAATCACCGAACGACTCAGCAGTTTCTATTTCTATTTTCAGTCAGGCTACGAACGTCGGCTCAATGGGGGCGACCTTGCGCGTGGTGCTCAGCACCCGGGACATCACTTTGTTGCCCATCTTTTCACTTCACTTCAACAAAATCGGTGATCAAGAGTGGAGGAGGACTGCAATGCCAGCAACCACTGGCGAAAACACTGAACTGTCAATTCACTGCTACTGCACTGGCCAACTAACCAACTAGCAACACTCAAATTCAAGTTGTGAGCTTCAAGGCTTCAGTTTAGCGGCAGCAGCAGCAATAACTTTCTCCCCTCCCCTCCCTTCTCATTGCATAACGTTAGCAGACACGTTCAGCTGAAAAAATACTCGTACACAAGTAACTAACTAACTTAACGAAGTAATGGCAATTACATGCACACTTACAAGCACTCTCACTTTCTCATTACTCTCTCCATTTCCAGCAAGCACTACAGTGCTGGCATTGCAGTGATAGTCAATTACTTTGCTGCTGCTGCTGCTGCTGCTGTCATCGACAACGACACCGACTTTCGACTTTTCCTGTTCGATGACAGACAGACACTGCTTTTTTGCGTGTGTGTCCTCTGAAAGGAAAGACACTCCGGAGGACACGGCACAACAACGACAAAATCGGCGAGGAAAGATAGGCAACGGCAACGGCAACAGCAGCAGCAGAATTTGGCAGTGATCAGCAAGTGGTCGTCTGTTCAGGTTCAACTTTGATCGGCCATTGTGTCTGCTACTGCCACAGCCACTAAACCGATTGGCTAATTGCTGATTACCGAGCAGCAGTAATTGCAGAGGACAAATTGGATAATAGGTTGCAGCTCAATCATTCAATTGTGTCCACAGTGGGCACAGTGTGTGAGATAACGGTGCTTGATGATTAAATGCTGCTGCTGCTGCAAATCAGTGTATGTGTGGAAAGTGTTGAGTAAATAGAAGCGAGTGCACTCTGGGCACGTTTCCCCAGCATCAGTGCAAATCCGTTTTGGAAAGCACCAATGTAGTCTAGTGGTCTAACCTGTCGGCAGGTTTGGCAAAGATTTCCGGCGGGCGATGGGCCCCGGCCACCACCTTCGTGGCGCCCTTGTTCGAGCAGCTCAGCGAGGACATTAGCTTGGAGATCATCGGTGTTTGCTCAAAAGTATTGAAAAGGAATGAGGATGATGGTGGTGAAAGAGCAGTGGTGACGGCAACTGTGATGCTAAGCCGGTGGTGACATTGCCGACTAATGAACAAGGGTGACCATCAACGGGGAAAAGACCGTTATTGATGATGGTGATGGTGATGGTGATGTCATTCAAATGAGAGAGAGAGACTAAGGGAAAGTCAACAACTGTGCAAGTGTGTGTGCAAGCAACTCAAAGTCAAACTCGCAAGCTGAAAGAGAAAGTCAGCAGCAGCAGCAGTCAATCAATTAGCGCCGAGAGTGAGCGGCTTCTCTGACTATGCCACCGAAAACAGAATCTTCTATTCTCCCACTCTCTCCCACTCTCATTCTGCAACTTTGTTTTGCACTTACTTGACTTCGGTGGACATGATTTCAGGTGGTGGTGGTGGCTAGAGATGGCTTGCGGTAGTGAGGAAGGCACACAGGCAGACACTAATTGGCTTCGATATATCGACAAACTGACTGCTGAACGAGCAGACACCAAATGACAGGTGGGGATTGAGTGTGCAAAACGGAGGAAGAGGGAGAGATTGCTGAGAGACAGAAAACTGGTTGCCAATGAGAGAGAGAGAGAAGGAGCAGTTGTGAGATTGTCTGTGTGGTGGTGTGCTGGTGGTGGTAGTGCCTGTTGTCCACTGCAGTGGTAGTCGTAGTCGTACAACTGTCTGCTGTACACTGTCTCCGCTGGTACGACAGGTTGACAGTGAGTGTGAGTTGGAGTGAGCACGATCTGAGCGGCTGCCAGTTCACGGTGTGTTCAGTGCTACTTGCTCACGCCACTTGTTCAGGCCATGCTTTTTAGAGTGTGAGCTTCAGGTGCTGGCTGCACACAGGCCACAGTACCTCCTCCTCTTCTGTCGTCAACACGAAGAAAATGACTGCTGAAGATTACTATCAGTGAGTTGAAGTTGAAGAAGAAGAAGAAGAGGCAGTAAAGAAGTGTCTCTGGCAGAAGTCTCTGCCACCTAAATGGCCATCGTAAGAGAATGACGGTGGTGGTGGTGGTAGTGGTGGTGGTGGTCGTTAGCGGTGCAGATCACAGACAGACACTCCTTGGCTGACTGTCTCTGATCACGCCGCTCCCAAGTGCTGCCACTTCTTCTTCTTCTTCTTCTTTCTTAATGACTACCGTCTTCTTCCTCTTCTTCGTTTGTCTATTGTCTTGGCCTCAGACAATCGATTCAATCAAAAGGGAGAAAGAGAAAGGGAGCTTTTCCAGGCCTGCAAGAAAGAAAGAAGAGAATTAGCACGCTGGCAGGAAATACACACACAATCTCAATGGAATACTTGTCTGGTGATGGGGAGATGGTGGTGATCTTCAGGGGAAGCTTCTTTGCCCGAGGAATCGGGTGCGCGTCCGCTGGTGAGAGAGAAGAAGATCAAAACAAACGCAAAAGCAAACTGCTGGCTGGCCTGCACTCGCCTGACCACTTCCAGTGAGGAGATGAGGTACAGGGCTGCCAGACTAGGGCAAAAACCAGAAATTTTCTTGAGCGGTTCGGAGAAGACGTTACGCGGATTTAGCGCCACCAGTTGCACTTGGTGACTTTGTGAACTACAGCTTCGCCGCTAGGGTCAATAGATGTCGCTAGCGGCGGCGTGGCAGAAAAAGCTTGTACTGAGAAGTCAATAGAGAGGCGGAAGCAAAAGCTGCTGAGACGGGGTATGCATTAATGTAAGCAAACTTTAGCAATGCAAATTCTTAGGTAATTCTGGTCAGAATCAGGTAAACTAAAATGCTAAATAAATAATGAGATTCTATTTGATCGTTTAGAGTTTACCAGAGCTCGATCAGTGCAGTAACATCGGAGATATCACGGTCCAAAGTTGGCCTTCAAAACGCAGGGAAAAGCAGTAGGCTCCGCCCAGAAAACAGCGCATTTTTCGCTGACATGCACCGTTCGGCGAGTTGTCCAGGTCTTGACATCTCCCCGAAAAAACAAGTATCCGAAACTGAAGAAGTGGGCGTTGGACGATATCTCGACAACGGGACATGCTAGGGCCAAACTGCTTTTACCAAATGAATCAGAAAAAATAGCTTAGTAAACGCTAGGAGTCTCAGATCTCTAGCTTCAGCCGTTCCCGAGATCCAAGACCCCAGGGGCAGACCGGCCAAAGACAAACTAACATTTGTTGCCGGAAACTTTTTCCGGGAAACACTTCCCAACTTTTCCGGTTCATCGTGGAACAATACTTTTTAGCATTGGTAGGCGCACACATTCTACTTGAGCTGGCTCCTTTCTATTTTTTGGCGTCGTCTTTTGCTTCACTGATCTGCCCGTAAAAAGGATCGGCAGCGTACTACCAGCGCAAAAAATGGCACTTCGGGAGATCTTCTTCGCCTTTGACCTGAGGAGGCATCCTCACCGAGCGCCGAAGCAGAGGATTCAATTAGGACAACTGATGGCTGACTGGATTACTCGGCGCTGAAGAAAAGGGACACAAGAGTAGGAGAACACAACATACTTTAATACAACTAATAAAGCTCAAAAACTTTTACAAAAGCAGTCATCCACGCTGACGACTGACTCTCACTTGCAACCTGGTGCAGCAGTTTCTCAGCGGAAATGCACTCTTCCTTTAAGCACAAGATGAGTCGATTCAGCGAGACACCGGGGTGGAGGGTGAAGAGGGAGGACGAGAAACAGTGTAGAGCGCACGCTGGGGGGATCTCTGCAAACCAGGGTAAAGGGGGGCAGGAAAAGTTGAACTTAAATTTACAGCTTTGACAGCGGAAGTTTTTGATACAGATGGCTTTCAGGTTGGGCATCGTCGCCGGCAGATTCAACCACTGCAGCTGAGAGTGAGAGCCGACGCCCAAGTCCAGACTTAGAGCCCGTAGCGAGTTCAGCTGCGCCAGTGGACGTGCTCGTGGTGGTAACTCTTCTTTACTCTTCCAAAATATCCTAAACTTCAAGTGGACCAGCTGATGCAGTTGGGAGAGGGCAGTGAAGAGCGGTGCAAAATCAGCCACAGCAATGCTGCCAAAATAGAGTGAAGTGAGAGAGCGGAACTGGCTGCAGAGGAGGGGCACCTGGTCACCGGTGTAGCTAAGTCTACCCCATCCGAAGCGAACAATGCGACTGTGCAGTGGCTGGCTGAGGCTGAGCAGAGCTTCGGTATTGTCGGAGATCAAGTGAATCTGCAGGTCGGCATTGTCAGTGGCATGCCGCTCGAGGGAGCGCAGAAAGGCTTTCAGATTAGCCGATCGGTAGACCACTTGCTTCAGCTGGGCGAGTATGGGCAGGTGGGAAAGGTCGATGGTGTTACCACAGTCTATACTTAGGTATTGCAGAGCGGTGAGACCGTTGATGGCGGTGATCAGCTGTTGACTGTCTATCCAGTCCACCATCAAGTTGGTCAGTTGGCACTGCCAGGTGGGATGCTGCAGAAGGGGCACCAGGCGCACACTGTCGATTAGGAGGAGCTTTAGTTCGGTGACAGCAGAAAAGATGTTGACGATCTGCTCGATGGTCGCAGAGTCGATCTGTTCGGCTGAGTCAACCACCAGGTTCCATTTGCCAAAACGGGCGGTGGTCACTGGATAGTGGGGGAATGATGGCTCACCAGGAATCTCCATCAACGCCTTTATGGCTGGCTCAGAGTTGATTTGATATTCGAGTTCCTTCAGATCGTCTGGGTCTTCAACATTTCGATCGGTGATGATCAGTGTCTTCACGGTGCGATTGGCCGCTCTCACCAGGATGGCACAGCGTGGACTCATCTGACTCGCCACCATCTGCTCATTCGGTGTCAACATCTTGAAGGCAGCGATGATGCACAAATCTGGAAGGGGGCGTCGAGGAGGCATCGTCTTCGGGTGTTGATCAGACTGAAAGGGAGAGATTTGGGAAAGAGCGAATCAACTGAAGCTGCTGATGCAATGTGAGCAAAGCAGAAAGGAAAAGCTGAGCACATGTGCCGGCACTGCACACAGGTGTTCAGAAGAATGCAAACTCAGAAGCAGCGGTGCCCTCTGATGATAATTAGATGGGAACAGTAATAAAGAGTTCCGATGACCAGATTTGATCCTCCTGGAGTATTACCACCGGCTATTAATAATAACGATCAGGCTGAGACAGTGAGAAATGAGTGAATGATTGAAAAAGTGGGCAAAGATGAAGCAGTTTACAATGACTAACTCTGAAAGTGAAGAAGGGTAAGAGAAGACTTTATTACAAGTATCAAGTAAGACAGGTGATTACAAAACGGCGTTCATCAACGCTGACCGGTGCTGACTGACGATGCTGACTGACGGCTCACTGGCTGACTGGAGCAGTTTCTCAGCAGAAATGCACCCTCCGTCTCGTGAAGATTCCAAGATGAGTCGATTCAGCGGGACACCGGAGTGAAGGGTGAAGAGAGAGGACGGGAGGCAGTTCAGAGCCTTCGATGAGTTTCTTCGATTGATGTAACGGCCGATCTGAACTCTACAGCTATCACAGTTGAACCGCTCGATGAAAATTCTTTGCAGGTTGGGCATCCTCACCGGCAGATTTAGCCACTGCACCTGAGAGTGAGAGGAGATGGTCAGGTACAGCTCAAGAGCCCTCAGAGTATTTAGCTGTGCCAATGGATGTGCTTGTAGTGGTAACTCCTCGCCACTCCTCAAATATACCCCCAACCCCAAGTGGACTAGCTGGTGAAGTTGGGAGAGGGCAGTGAACAGCGGCACGACATCAGTCATGACAATTCCGTTGATAAAGATGGAAGTGAGTGAAAGAAACTGGCTGCAAAGGAGGGGCACTCGGTCACGGGTGTAGTCAAGATAACTCCATCCGAAGCGAACAATGCGACTGTGAAGTGGCTGGCTGAGGCTGAGCAGAGCATCGGTATCACAGGAAAGCAGGTAAACTTGAAGGTNCACAGGAGATGAGGTGAACCTGAAGATCGGCATTGTCAGTGGCATAGAGCTTGAGAGAACGCACAAAAGCATGCAGGTTGCTCGATTTGAGGGCCACTACCTTCAGTTGGGCAAGTATGGGTAGATCGGGAA